CATACGATACACGAGTTTTCACTGAGCGTGCCGCCAGGATATAAGATATCGGAAACGCTAGCACAGATCATTTACCTTCCGATCATCGCACGAAGCATATCGGATCTGACTATCCGCGTTGTGGATCAAGACAGTGGATTGCTCGGTTTTCGTGGAGAAGAAATCACTGTGAGGCTGCACGTACGGAGACGACAGCGATAATGTGAGATGCTCGTGCTGAATGAGCAGGTGAACCGTACAGAAGACACAATTTTAACTGGAGAGGCAACAGTGAAAAACATTCGACTTATCAAGAAGAAACTTACTGCTTCCAACATTGAATTTTTAAAATCTTTGGGTTTTACCGTGCATAGTATCTGAGATGGCTTATATCCTAAACATTGGAGGGGAACCAGTCTTTGACGACAGCATCGTCAAAATTGAGATTCACACATACAATCCGTATGCTAATACTACGTTCGGACACAGCGATGAAATGCGAATACCTATACAACAGCAGGATTTATTAACACATTATCATGCGAAAGTTTTCTCTACGTCGAAGAAAAAATGGCGGTAAAGAAAGAGAAGGAAGGGTCGGTGACAACGCTTGCAAAGAATTACGTGACGTTCATGTTTGATGAAATTCGATACGAACTCAACGGTGTGGAGATTGATCGCAACAGAAACGTTGGAATTACCACTACTATTAAGAACTATTTATCGCTAACGTATGGCAAAGCAACAATTTTGCATAATGCTGGATGGACCTTAAAACCGCACATATTTGAAGAATATTTTAACTTTTGCGTACCGCTCAACATGTTGCTGGGCTTTTGTGAGGATTTCAAACGTGTGGTTGTTAACGCTCGGCACGAATTGATTTTGATACGAGCGCGCAACGATAACAATTGTCTTATGAGAGACGCCGCGACTGAGCCTGAAGTCGAAATACATAAGGTGCAATGTCTCGGCGAATGTCTCACGTCATGTTAAACAAGGTCAATAAACTGTCCATGCTACGAACGTTGGAAAGCGACCGATATCTGAGCGTGTGTTTTCGCTCGTGGGATCTGTACCCCTTGTTGCAGAGCACTACCAAGCATTCATAGGCTGTGAAGACTGCAACGCAACTAGAAAAACCACGATACGTTATCTTTGCCTTGCAGACTGGTAGAAAGAACATCATGTCGAAAGATGCTTCTTTATTCGATGAGTGTAAATTAACCAATGTAAAACTGTATTTAAATTCAGAATTTTATCCGTACGACGACTTAAATCTAGACTTTGATAAAAACAGATACGCCATCCTGTTTGATATGTATGCTCGTTTTCGTAAAACTTATTACGGATGCACAAACAATGAAACGCTGTTAACCGTTATTTCTGGAGAATGGACCTTTTGTAGTCATTGACTGCACGCGACAAAACGAGTCCGTCAAGAGCGCTACCGTAGATGTGCGTATAAAATTTGACTCTAAAGAAAATGTGCCGGAGAGTACTACAGCCGATTGTCTTATTTTACACGATCGCGTGATTGAATATTGCCCATTATTCAACGTTGTGCACAAAATCACATAACTTGCCATGTCTGCAAAATATTCTCACCATCCGAGATAAAAACTGCGACAATTCGCGAGGGGAACACAGTTTCGATAGATTACTCGTAATGATTGTACCAACATTTGTAGATCTGCAAGGATTCACCGTTGGGAAGAGATTTATTGTTAAAGAAATGGCGGTCCTGAGAAGAGGTACAGTTCTTTCGCATTACATTTTTGCGGGTCCCATGCCATGGAAGTCTTTAACAAAATTCGATAAGTCTGGTTGATTGCTTATCACCATGAATTGAGATGGGAAGACGGGATGATTCCGTACAGCATGGCAAAACGCCTGATTGCAACAGCTGTGTTTGATGAAAAGGATGATACCGACGAGGCTATCGTGTACTTTAAAGAACATCAAAAACGAGAATGGCTTGGTGATACGCTCAATGCGAGAGTAGTCATTGAAACTCTGAATGCCGATTTTGAAGATGTAGTTTCTTTGAATAATCTAAGTGTTATTAATATGCGCTGTGGAAAACACGTTAAGAATTGCACATTACAAAATGTATTTAAAATATATAACTGGTGGTCACACCATCAAATAAAACAATAAAATGTATAATCTGAATATTATAATCAATAAAATGTGAAATTTTTAAAATTATATTTCTTTCCCTTTCCTTGTGGTTAAGATCATATATGTATATGGCATTACTACATCGAGATGTGTGCGAGACACGTTCATATTTATCTCTGACGCGGATAAAACTTCTACCTAGCGATGGTCGCGAACGAAAGAACATTTCTATGCAGTTAGGAACGGTAGACAAATCAATTGAATTGATAAATTGGTGTATCGATAGGCGGTTCGACAGACGGTTTGATTGAACAGACAGTCAGTTTGACAAGTAATTCGACAGAACCGGGGTATCGGTTCGACAGATCAGCGGTATCGGTTCGATAGGCGGTTTGATGATGGTTTCATACTATGTGACATTACCACGACATTGAGAATGCTGACACGGTTATTTTCTATCTTGACTCGTATAAATATCTAACTAATGAAGGTCGCGAAAGAATATGATTTTCTTTATAGTTAAACTAATAGCGGTTTGATAGAACAGACAGGTGGTTTGATAGAACAGACAGACAGTTCAATAATACAGACAGGCAGTTCGACAGAACCGGGGTATCGGTTCGACAGGCAGTTCGACAGATCAGCTGTATCGGTTCGACAGATCAGCGGTATCAATAGGCGGTTCAGGAGTATCCGTTCGATAGGCGGTTTGATGATGATTTCATACTATGTGACATTACCACGACATTGAGAATGCTGACACATTTATTTTTTATCTTTGACGCGTATAAAATATCTAACTAATGAAGGTCGCGAAAGAATATGATTTTCTTTGTAGTTAAGACTAATAGCGGTTCGAATTAACAGACATGCAGTTTGACAGGCGGTTCGACAGAACAGGGGTATCGGTTCGACAGATCAGGGGTATCGGTTCGACAGATCAGCGGTATCAGTTGAACATATCAGCTGTATCGGTTCGACAGAACAGATGTATCGGTTCGACAGATCAGCTGTATCGATTCGATTGGCGATTCGACAGCGGTTCCGTAAAAGCATTTTTTAAAGTTACGGCTGTTTCAATAGCGCCGGTTGGGATGGCGGGGTGGGCCCGTGCGCAACGGGAGGGACGCGAGCGATAAGCGCGGGGTAAGTCCGCGAACGGCGAGCGCGACGGCGGCGGCGGCAGCGGCGGCGGCGGCAGCGGTGGCGGCGAGCGCGGTATCCTCTTCCACGCGGACTCAAAACGCGGCTCCCTCTTTTCCGCGGATCCACAACGCGGTTCCCCCGTCCCCGCGACCTCCACATCCAAGATGCGGTTCCCCACACCCCGCGAACCCCGCACCCTCGAAGCGGTTCCCCCGTTCTCGCGACCTCCGCATTCAAGAAGCGGTTCCCCCGTCCCCGCGACCTCCACATCCAAGATGCGGTTCCCCACACCCCGCAAACCCCGCACCCTCGAAGCGGTTCCCCCGTCCCTGCGACCTCCGCATTCAAGAAGCGGTTCCCCCGCCCCCGCGACCTCCACACCTACAACGCAATTCCCCCGCCCCCGCGGTCAAGCCAGCGGGAGCATCACCTTTCCTGTGACGTCATCCCCCCCCGCGGACCTTAGGCCGAGAACTTTGTGAGCGGCTTTCCCCACCCCGCAGACCCCCCTGCCCCTCACCCCCCTCGGAGCTCCCTAGTTAGAACCGGCTCTTATTAGCTACTTATACCTTTATTTCCTAATTTAGGGAAAAAGAATTGACAACAAATGAAAATACAGCTATTGATGATGTAAACCATATTTTGCCGAATGCTCAGGAATATTCCACAAATGAGAATAATGAAAGTACAAAGGATGCGACAACATGCACTCAAGAAAAAAATCATTGTATGTCCTGTAAAAAATTCAAGAATTAATTAGTTTAATATAAATTTTTTATTAATCGTAAATTATATTCTTGAATATAATTTACGATTAGTTTAATTTAAATTTTTTACAGAACACATTCAAGTAATATAGAAACAAATGCCAAAATTCGTAAAGGTCTACCGGAAACTGCAATTGACCGGTTTAATTTTACTTTGTAGACTACATCAACTACCCAAGGAGAACAGAAAGATCAAAATGACATCAAAATGATATCAAAATAAGATCAAATTTTAGTCTGTCAAAATGATGTCAAAGTGCATAAATTTTTGATGTATTCTTGACCATTCCAATTTAATTGCTAAAATAAATTTGTTTTAAATACAATAAATTTATTAATTAGCATCATATACTAGAGAATGAAAAAAAATATACATAACAAAATTGTGATTAAAAAATACATATTTAGAAACTTATTTACGATATTCCTAAAGCGGTCACCCATCTAAGCTATAAACCTTGTGGAACGTGCTTAACCTTGTGATCGTCCGAGAACTGATGTTTCGATGATCCATAAATATTAATTGTTAATAAGAGTATACCAATGGTATATATCTTCTTAATAGATGTCAAAAAGATGAAATGTGTGTTAGTTAAGATATATATTGTTCATAAATATAAAGTTTGCATATAAAATATAAACAAATGTAAAGTTACAATTTATACTAAGACTTAATTGTTGTATAAATTGCGAAATGGCATTTGAAATAAAGGAATTAAAAATAAATATTTGCCATATATACAATCAAGAAACGTTCACATTTTTCTAAAAATCAAAAAGATCGACACTATAAAAAAAGTCAATATAAAGTCATTCTTTAGTCATTTAAAATCTAGATTTTAATTATGATGTAAAAAATGACGAAAATTCGGTCAATTTAATGTCAAATTGATATTATTTTGACTTTTCCGTTCTCCTTGGGAAATTATAGAATATATAATAATAATAATAATAATTCTCCCGGGAGGCGGCCTCCTATCAGAGGTCCCTCAACGACACGCAGACGGGGTCCATTATGTCTTCCCGGCCGTACTAACTCCAGATTAGCCGATACCTGTCACCCCCCAGAAGCGGAGGAGGTCCCTGGCCTGGAGTTGCCAAACCTGCTCGGGCACTAATAAATCCGAGCCCAATAGGAGTCGTCTGTGCCCAGTGTAAGCCGGGCATTTGCATAGCATGTGGAGAATAGTCTCTTCGCCAAATCCGCACCTTCTGCACTCCGGAGTGTCACAGTGACCCAGCTTGTGCATGTGGTAGTTGGTAAAGCCATGGCCCGTGTAGATCTGCACTGCCAGCCTGACTTCCTTTCTCTTCAAGGCCCTGATGTTCCTAGCAAGGTCCCTTCTGAGTGCTTCTCCCAGGAAAGCCCTTGCCTGTCGGCACTTGGTCCTTGTCGTTTCTCTCCAGAAGTCAGCATGGCGTTCCCGCAACCAGCCCTTTATTTCCGTTTGCCAACGCAGCTGGGCACGCCTAGAGCCGGCTCCGGTCCCACCATTCTGACCGCTGCGCCAGCTCTTGCTAACTCATCAGCGATTTCGTTACCCTTGATCCCCGAGTGCCCCGGGACCCAAACCAACGTTGTTGCCAACCGACAGCTGGTCCAGCGCCGTCTTGCACTCCCAGACCAGCCGAGAATTGAAAACACACGCGCCCAGCGCGCCCAGGGCCGCCCTACTATCTGAGCAGATCCTGATGCGCCTGCGCGTCACACCCGATGCAATCAGTGTCTGAGCACATCCCATGATTGCCGCCACCTCCGCTTGGAAGACAGTGGTAAACTCCCCAAGTGGGAGCGTCTCTCTGACTCCCTTCCGGCATCCATAGATCCCGGCACCGGCGCCCGTGTCAGTCTTGGAGCCATCCGTGTACCAGACGTCCCCGTTCCTGACAACAGGCACCTCATGCCTCTCCCACTCCTCGCGACTAGAAAAATAGATCTTAAAAGATCTACTGAAGTCGCGCTTCACAGAGATCCTATCTTGCCTCATCTCAAATACGGCCCCCGTCAGGAGCTCGCGTGGAAACCGGGTGTGGGTCGCACCGTCCGTCTACTTATTCCCGCACTTCAATCTATATGCAGTAGCAGCCGTTGCCGCTACTATCGAGAGATGGAGTGGTTCAATGCCAAGCAGCAGTCCCATCGTCGCCACTGGCGTCGTCCTCATAGCACCCAGGGCACCTCTCAGAATGAGAGCCCTGACGCACTCCAGCGATGCCCGGGCTTCGGATACTTGGACCCTTGGCCACCAGACCACCGCCGCATAGAGCAATCTTGGCCGGAGCACTGCACAATATATCCAGAAAACTCTGTCTGGCTACAGGCCCCAAGTTTGCCCGAAGGTTCTTCTACACATCCAGAAATATGTGCAGGCTTTCTTGTACACCGTCTCCAGGTGCAGCTTCCAGTTCAGCCTTTTATTTAGGATGACTCCCAGATATTTGACCGAACCTTCAGGTATCAATCTGACTCCTTCTAAGACAGGCTCCTGCACGGAGTCCACCTTGTACTTACGGGTGAAGATCACGAGACTTGTCTTTTTCGGGTTTACCGACAGACCCGTCTCCCTGCACCATTCCTCGACCATTCCCAGAGCCCCTTGTGTGAGCTCAAGAAGTGTCTCTAGGAAAGGTCCCCGAATCAGGATAGCCAAATCGTCTGCATACCCAATCGATTCGAAGCCCTTGTCATTAAGCATTCTAAGCAGCCTGTCTGCCACCAAGTACCACAGTAGCGGTGAGAGAACTTCCCCCTGGAGGCAGCCCCTCCCCTACCATCCTTCAACACTCACCGCTCCTAGTGAGGTCGTCACCTGACGTCCAAGCATTCTACGGATATTATAGAATATAACTATTTGACAAATGGCACTGATAATTTGCTTCATTGTCAGTCACGGCAGTAGTATGAAAAGATTTCTTTTTGTACTCCGTTCGTAAATGTCTGACGTTCAAAATACCTAATGTGTGCAGCTGATTTACTAATTGAATGAAATAAAAATTTGCAATATAAAAATTGTATATATATATCGACATATCTTTCTATTATTGCGAAATAAGTGTTTCAATTCATTTCGTTAACGCGCCTATATGGACTCGCCTTAAACAACGGCCGCGGGTGCGGACATCGGGTGTATCGCTCCTGGTGGGAGCGGAAGAAGAAGAAGAATCCATAAAACATATATATAAATGAAAGGTGAATGGGAAATCAAAATGCGTCCGATGGAAGTGAGAAAGGAAATCAAAAACCTCTCTCTCTCTCTCTCTCTCTCTCTCTCTCTTTGCTCTCTTTTTAGTAAGTCGATTTTCAAAAGAGCGCATGCGTAATTACGAAAACCGACTCACAAGAAAGAGGTATATGATTTCCTTTTTCACTGAAAAAGTGATTGGCTGTCGATGCTGACTATCGAGACTGTGGAGAGTCTCGCGGAGGTTGAATGACAACTGCTTTGACAGCTCGCATTATGATGTCTGAGATTTGTGGCATGTTTCAGGTGCAACACGTGCGTGCGTGCGTGCGTGCGTGCGTGCGTGCGTGCGTCAAAATTGGTTTAAAAATACACAGAGATAAAGATTAGTTTTGATAATTTAATTCTATGTTAATAATTTGAGCTTAGTTACAAAAATTATAGATGTTTGAAAAATATATAACCTTAAAATAATTTTAAATTAAGTCCGAAAAAAAAGTTTTATTGAAATTTTATTCAAATCGAATTAATTGTAATATTCTTACAGGTAGTAGATTATAAAAAGAATATCACATGTAAATTTCTAAATTGAATACTATTCTCTATTTATAATCTTAGAAATGGAAAAATAAAAGTAATGAAAATAATAACGTAAATTATGTGCGTTTTGTACTATTACCATAATATCACTAAAACATTATTTCAATGATATTAATATAATAATATCATCTTTTAATTAATATAAAAATTTATAATATAAATAATATTTATATATATACTATATATAATATTTAATATAAAAATATATATTTTTATCTTGTTTATATGTTAAACTTATCTTCTAAAAAATGTACGAAAAATTTAAATTCTTTAACGAGAACAAAGAACTTTAAATATATAATTAGAAACAATTCACTATATAAGTTTGTATCTTCTTGCATTTTAAACAAAATTACATACACATAATTTTGTTTGGTAGTTCACAACCATTAATATTTAATTTTCCTTTTATGATTTTGTTTTTGTTCTTTTGAAGCATTCGATAAAAGTAATTTTTTGATCTTTTAATAATTTTATATCTGACATATTTTCTACTTCCAAGTAAAAGATATTATTTGTAAAATGAATTGTTAATTTATTTTAAAAAATAATATGATTACTTTTTTAAAGTTCTATTAATGCACAAGCTGCACTGGATCACCTTTATTGTACTCATTGTCTTGATTAAAGTTATATGAACTTCTAATTTATAAATTGTTATATGAACTTCGTTATATGAACTTCTAATTTATAAATTGTGTCAATAATTGATCCATATCCGTACAATTTAAAGTTATTAGATAATGTATTAAATGTAGTCTTTATATATTTTTGTACAACTAGAAAATAGTTATTATATAAAATATAGTTTATTTTATTTAATAAATTTATTTTATAAAAAATCAAAATTAAAATTTAGAAAAGTAAATTTTAAAAATTTTTTAAAAATTTAATTTAATTTAATTTCTCTTTAAAATAGAAAGATAATTTATATGAATACTATTTACTTATGCATAAATTTAAGTTATCAGGTATATATTTGACAATTCAATTATTTGCGGTGGTTTTGCACTCATTTTCATTTTTAAATTATATTCTCCAAGATTGTTCACTATCGTATTCATACGAATAATAAATATAGTACATTGCTATTGTTAAATCCTGTTATTTTCGGTATTTTAACTTTTGCTACATCTATGTGTATAATCTGTAAAAATTAAAAAATGTGTAATATACAATAAACTAGAATATTAAATTCGTCATGGATTAATAAAGAAAAATTAAGTATATATCATGATTTTGAAAAATTTGATATTAAAATATAGTTTGTGGATATTAATTTTTTATATTGGATCTTCTTTCATAAGCATAACATATTTAAGATATAGAATATAAGCAAAAAAAATTAATAAAAATTAATACTTACTGTTATGTTTGTTGCCAATAAACACTCGTGAGGTTTGTTTCAGAAAGATGTGACGGTTCGCTTTTCGCGCTCGGATTATGCTCGCTGGAGCGCAAGAAAACGTAAGACACCAATTGGTTCAAAATATGATTTATTCAAAATTTAACAAAAGATACGATATTTACACTATGTACAAGTTAGAGTAACGGAAAACATGGGTGCCGGGCGAAGCGTGTCGGAGCCGGCGGACATCGGCGAGAGCGGAGATCGCGTAGCGGGTGAGACTCGGCGCGGCGGTCGCAGGTCGGGCGCAGTCGGAGACGTCGCGGAGCCCTTCGATGGGGGTGCGGAGTGCGGCGCAGTTGACGGACCCAGGCGCAGCTGGGCTAGCGGCAGGACGGGTTCCGGTCGACCAGGCGATCTGGTCCGGCGAGTGAGCGGGCGACCCGCTTCACGAGGAGACGGACTGCGGAGCTGCGGGCGACCCGCACGCGGTGTCGACCGGGCGACCCGATCCGACGGAACTTACTCAGAGGAATCGCTCGAGGTGGTCTTGCCGGGCGCTGGCTCGAGACAGGATTGGGATGCCACTTGCTCCGTGGCTACGATTTATATACCCTCGCCGGCAGGCCTTGGCGGGGGAAAGCGCAGAGAGGGGGTTACCCTCGGGAGCACGCTCGAAGCACATGCCATGTAATGGAATTTGTGGCGCTAAGCGTCACCCTGCCAAAAATGTTCGATTAAAACCGATTATAAAAAAAGTTATCCGAATCGATCGGGATTTCTGTACCGAAAATACGGTATCAAAAAGAATTAAAATCATTTAAATATAAATATATAAATCACTTTAGACGGAAATACGGTATCAAAAAGAATTAAAATCATTCAAATATAAATATATAAATCACTTTAGACGGATTAGTATCAGGTGATAGGAATCTATGTCAATCCAAACTTCGAAGAATTAAAATCATTCAAATATAAATATATAAATCACTTTAGACGAAAATACGGTATCAAAAAGAATTAAAATCATTCAAATATAAATATATAAATCACTTTAGACGGATTAGTATCAGGTGATAGGAATCTATGTCAATCCAAACTTCGACGATTGCTCGTACAAAAAAGCAATTAGTCGATCCAAAATTTACTGATTAATATATGAATATATCATGTCAAAATTAATTATATAGTTCTACTAATAATAAAATTTCATATATATTTTATTATTCTAAATGTAATATAGAATTAATCGAACCAATAACCAAATAACAAAAAAATTT